ATTCTCGATTGGATTCAGGTCTGGACTTTGACTTGGCCATTATAACACCTTGATACTTTTATTTGTGAACCATTCCATTGTAGATTTTGCTGTATGTTCTGGATCATTGTCTTGTTGGAAGATAAATCTCAGTCTCAGGTCTTTTGCAGACTCCAACAGGTTTTCATCCAGAATGTTGTGGATTCTTCACAAAAAAATTAAATTTTATGTCTTTATGTTTGAAGCCTGAAATGTGGCAAAAGGTTGAAAAGTTCAAGGGGGTTGAATACTTTCGCAAGGCACTGTATACACAACTCCCAATGAGCAGCATTTCTGCTGGGGAAAAAAAGGATTTATGAAAAATTAAAGTATTTTGTAACTAAGTTTTTGTGCTGTTTATAGTCAGAAAAAAGGTGAAGGTGTATTGGACACTGAATAATTTATTACTGTAACAATATTTGTTGAAAACAAGCAGTTAAACAAAACTACTTACAAGGAACAACTTAACAGGCAAAAWGTAGCTGTTGACAACATGTGAACCAAACTTCTTTTTCTCCTAAACAAGGCACAGATTAGAAAAACAGAGAAGGAAATCTGTTCTGTTTCTCCTGTTTTGCAGTGTGCAGTCCATCCACATTAGTTCTGATCACTGGCTGCCTCGAGGCTTTCGCTCTCCTCTTCTATCCTTTCCTCGCTTTCTTTTTTTCTCTCTTTTTGTTTACCACATAGAGGTTGATTTATGTCGGCTGCATTTGGCAGAGTTGGGTGGCGTGGGCGAGCTACAGCAGCTGAAGTGGAGTGAGAGAGGCGATGACGAGGGAGGGAAAAGAAGGAGAAGCAAAAGGCCAAATCAGAGTGATGTACCAGGGGAACCAGAGAGATAGAGAAGAGCTAAAAGAGGGAAGCAAAATACTGAGGGGTGGGATGAGAATAGCACAAGAGGACTGAGAGATTACAGAACGGGGGAGGAGGTGGGAAGTTGGGCGAGGTGTTGTACTGGCCTCAGGTGTTTCATTCTGATTTGTATCTTTTATGATGCCTCTTTGCGTCAGAACACCAAGTCTCATGTTGGGGACCCTCTGGCTCAGTCGTTCTTGTTGTGTGTTTGGTTTTCATCCTTATTATGTTTAATAATGTGTTTGAGTCCTTCCACTCTTATCCTAAATGGGTTCAATTGCAACTTTTCACAAAGCACTATGTGAATCTTAAATTGTCCCTTTGGGAAAGTTAGTCTGCAAGCAAAGCAAACTGGGGGTTTGTTTATAGTTTTGTGAGATACAGACTTTAAATTTGAAGTGTTGGATAAGAATGTTCTCAGCTTATAAAATGTTTTGTGCTTTTGTACTGAGAAAATGAATAATCCTTGCATTGTCATCTTGGATTGTCATCTTGGAATATGCCCATCCCATCAGGGAAGAAAAACTCCATTGATGGAATAACCTGGTCTTTCAGTATATTCAGGTAGTCAGCTGATCTCATGCTTTGAGCACAAACTGTTGCTGAACCTAGACCTGACCATCAGCAACCCCACATCATAGCACTTAGTTAAAACCAGGTGGCAACTTTGTTTTTTTAGCTGGGCAGTGTACAAATTGTTATATGTACGTCAAATTTTTTTTTGGCATATTCAGAGGGGAATCGTGTATAATTTTGACAGTATACTTTTCCCTTTCTTGAATAAACTACATTATTTGTCCACAAGAACTTTCAGTTTCAGTTTATCCAAAGCCTTTTTTGTTTTATTCATCATTTTCTTATTTCTTGTAACTGCTTTTTCACTACATTGATCATTTTTAGCAATTGTAAAAATGGACAAATGATCACTTACATCAGTCATCAAAATTCCATTCAGCCTCTCTCCATTTCTTACATTTGTAAAAATGTTATCAATCACTGTAGCATTATGAGCTGTCATTACTTTTGATTTGGACGTCAAAGGATAAAGGCTCAAACTATACAATTTTCAACAGGTGACTAAAATATTACTTTAAATTATTCTGTCATCTTGTTGACAATGAACCTGTACTAATCTTACTTTTTTGTGCATGTTACATGTGTATATTTTTTTTGTTTTGTTTATTTGTTTGTTTGTATTTGAGAGTTATTCTTCTTTTGTTGCTTTTTTTTATTTAGCTGGGACCAGAGTAGGGTTGGGCATTATCGTATCGTGTGCAATTAATCATCAGAAGAATATTAATCGATTAATTTTTGGTACTTGACGATTAATAGGATTAATGCCACCAGGGGAGATTTCTCCAGTCAATCCGCTCGGTGCTCCTCTCCACTTCAAATATGATGAACATTAAAAAAAAGGTTCTGTAATTTATTTATCAATACAGTTTAAAAATTTATGTATAGCCTGAAGTCTGTAATTTTGACACAATTTGGAACAGATTTTTATGAAGAGCAAARCTTTCCCACTAAATTGGTCATGTGACTAGGACATAAGGGTGTCCAGGGACTCCAGGGGATTAATCGTCAAATTAATCGTTATCGGCTAAATACCCCCATTAATCGTGATTCATTTTTTTGCCAATATTGCCCAACCCTAGGTCAGAGTGTGTTTCATTCTATCGTGCAAATGTCAATTGCCTTTTACCCCTTTTGTTTCTGTTTCTGTCACACTGTAATATCAGCATTCAAGCTAACTGTATTTTACCTGTTTTCCTTTAGCTCTCTGTGAGTTTGCTCATCTTCCTTGTTTTTGTCAAGATCGTTGTCGTCTTCCTCCTCCACAGCTTGAGAATTTACCGACTCACTCCAACACGCGTTGCCATTATTGTCCCAAAAGTTTCATAACAAAATGAAAGTTTTAGCTTGCGCCAGCGGAAGCAACCTATCAAAATAAAAGCTGTAACACYTGACTGTTTTGTGCAATGACTTATGTTTTAGTGGTTTASTCTCAAGATAACACATTGATTTAATTTGCCTRCGCAATGAGACTATTGCGCACACGTACATTGAGATAACGATGCTCAAATGCTACTTGCAGCTCTAGTAACCATTTAAAGTGAAGCCTGCACCACTGGCCACTTCTGATTCGTCCAGTTGTTGTAGAATATTGTGTTCACCACTCTGTAAATGTGATTTCTGTCTGTAGAAAAACACTCAGTAGTTAGACAGACACATAAATAAACTCAGATACAAACCACACAAGAGTAATATTAACATCTGAATGAATACAACTGAAMAATGCTTCCTCTCCTGCCCCGTGTGAGTGTTCTCACCAGCATTACAGACAGTCCTATGAGGAGAGGCATTTGTAACAATTCAACACTAAACTTTAAAATCTAACACATACTTAAGACTTCAGAGAAAATCCCCACAACCCAGAAGTGTAGTATTCTTTAAAGTCCTTTAAACAAGATTTTTACAACACATTAGAGAACAATCCATCCGGCTGTTGGGTTGGTTTAGTATTTAACTGTCTAATCGTTCAAATGTCTCTCCTGTCTCTCTCCCTGCAGCTGGTCAGTTGAGCCAGTCAGCTCATTTCTCCCTGCAGCTGCCCTACACCGTGCTGGGGCTCGGACGCAGCGCTAACTTCCTGGATCACCTGTTTGTTGGAATTCCCAGGGAGGCTGGAGACACGGTAAGGAGACGTGTTTGAAGACGAAAGGCTTAGTTATCAAAAGACTTCACTGTGCTTCTGTACAAATCAATACAGGCTCGACAGTTGAACAGAGTATTGGAAAAAGTTTAATTTAAGTGTGTGTGTGTGTGCGTGCGTGCGTGCGTGCGTGTGTGTGTTACCTTTTTAGGACTGTTTCTGGTATACACACCTACCTTGTCAAGACCAGTAGTCCTTACAAAGACAGATCCTAATATGGTGAAACTCCATTTTTTTTGGTCACGTGTTAAGTTTAGGACTAAGGTGTAAATTGAGTTTAGGTTAGATTTAGTGTAAGGTGTCAGTATTAAGCTATAGAAACCACTGGAATTGAATGGAAGTCAATGAACAGTCCTAATAAGGATACAAATGCAAACTTGTGTGTGTGTTGGAGTAGGTAAAAAAAAAAAAGAACTGGAACAAAAATAATTCCCACACAAATGAAGTTTTAACCTAAAATGAAAAACAACATGAAATGCCAAATTAGGTTTTTTCTGAAAACTCCCTGTTCTGCTTTAACACAGTCTGACAGGCTTGTCTCAGGCATTTAATGTTCATGTAAGGAAAAATGATCAAACTGGCAGCATGAATGCTCAATGGTTAGCACTGTTGCCTTACAGGAAGAAGTTCAGACCTGGGGTCTTTTTGTGTGGAGTTTGCATGTTAACCTTTTTTTATGTGGCTTTCACTATTTTTTTTCCCCACAGTCTAAAAACTTTCATGTTCGATTGCCTTCAGACTCAGGCCTTCCTTGCGAAGGAGATCTGTGGTCTCAGTGGAATTATGTATTTCCCAGGCACATAGTTCAACTACGCACCACAGTCAAGTTACTATGTTATCTTCGGTTGTTGTTAAAACGCTGTATATATCAAAAATGTATGCTTTGAGGGACAGGTGCTCTGTMGGGTGGGAGCTCTGCTGCAGACTCACCTGCAGGAAGGTGCTTTGTACCAGCAAGTGTTTAGGCAGCTCCACATGGTTACCACAGGAGGTTCAAGGATTTCTCAAGCATGCATGAATGAGTCAAAGTAACACTCTGGGTATGTTTTTGATGAGGGAATGACATTATAACCAGAGTTGCACATAAGTGGTGCGAAGGTGCACATGCACGATCAAAAAAGGAAAAGCGCACCAGATGGAATGTCACAAAGCTCCCTTGCGTACCTAAGATTGTACTTGAGATTGTGAAAACAACAGATAGCAGGGTCACAAATGTGACCTGATTTCTTAAAAACAAACAAAACCAAAGAGAAAAAAATCCAGCCTCACTGGTGTGACTGGATCGTCATTCTGTCAGAGGAGGGCAGCTGGGCCCTGATGGATTAAACGGACACTGCTTGCAACAAATCAGACGAACTCCAGAGCCGTTTTGTCCAGTCAGAGCAGAGCAGGGCGGGACTTTCAGTGAGAGCAGTTTAGAAGCAGCGGCTGCAGCGATCAGTCCTMACATCTCCTCCCGCACTTTGCTCCTGAACTACAAGAGACTTTGGTCTATAAAACCTAACTTTATATTAAATATATGTTCAGAGTGTCGTTATCAGATAGATCTGTCCAACTTTGCGTCAGTGACTAAACTCTCCTCCTGAGAGACYGGAYCGCACCTCAGCGTGGGCAAACTGAGTCTTTCTGTGAGATTCACTGTTCGAGTTCTTCTAAACCATATTACCTCTAACACAGGGGTGCCCAAACATTTTCCCCGAGGGGGGCAAAATGAAAATCTATCCATGGCTGCGGGCCAAATGCAGTTATATAATACATGAAATACAAATACTTTTTTAAGTAAAGTAAAGTTGTTTATTTTTAACGATTAAGRTGTGCAATGGCCCTCTTTTGTTTTAGTCTGTGCACTTGGAGAAAGTCTGCCATACGCTCAAGTAGCAAAGGCTCATGGGACATATCATAAATTGATAAAATATGAGTTTTTGTGGCCTTATAAAGTGTGCAAATCTACATGCGGGGTTAAATCTGATCTAAATATTTCTTGTTGTCATTTCATGTTTAATCCTAATAAATCAAAGATATGCCAGCACCATGACTGAAAACTACCTTCACTACAGCCCTTTTACATAGTCATTTGACCAATGGAAATACTGTGTTTCTACCTATAGGATAACAGGTTACAACCTTGTAACTTTGGCAACTGTTGGTCGGCCAAAACAAATGGTTGGCGGGCCAAATTTGGCCCGTGGGCCCCACTTTGGGCTCCTCTGCTCTAACAGAAGAACATTTATTTGCCCCATATCAAAGAAAAGATGAGTCTGTTTAACGTCCCCCCCCCCATCCAAAAAAATAAAAACTTGCCATGTTCTCTAGGTGAATGAGTTTTAAATGTTATTTTAATTGATCAGAAAGATCCACAAATTTCATTTTTTCACAATTTTATGATAACAACAGGGTTCTTGATGTGCTAAACATGTTTATATTTAGAATCATACTGTGACACAGCTGCTCTGGGATGAATGTAATTCAATAAWTGATAAAATATAAAYAATAAATAWTTTTAAATGATTACATGAGCTGAAYCCATCTAAATATAATCTTTTTGTATAAAATAGTATTTAAAAAAATAAATCAGTCTAACAAATAAAACATTTGTTCTGTGCAAAAGACAGACATTTGCTGCTTGGTCTGCAGAGTGTGGAAAGCTGGTTTAAACAAGGCCAAAGATCTAGAAGGCCAAACTACAGGAGTTGTACATCTCAGGGTCATGTGTAGTCTAACAGACATGTTCAGTTTGAGATGACATATGCCCTTGGGTCAGCCCATTGGCCACGTAGGTAGTTTACAAAATGTATGCAGAGTAAAAAAACAAAATAAAAAACTCTGATTTGTCATGATGTCRCGAGACATTGCCAGCTGATAGAAGGCGTCATAAAACAGAACAGGACGATAATAAATGCCCTGACACCCCTCTAGATAAATTTGATAAATGAGTTAAGGAAAATATGAGCACCAAGCAACAACCCCAGGTTCTCCCCTGAGAACCAGACCAAAAATTTTTATGTGCAACCCTGATTATAACGCAATATAAAGCACAAAAAAGTAAATTTTGCACAATTAACTTAAAATATAACTTCAATATGACTTCAAGCGACAAATGTCCATGAATGTCTTTAGAAATATTGTCCAATTACAGCTGCTGAAAATAAAATGTAAAGTAGCTGACAGTTTAACATGTTTAGCTATCTTAAGCTAATCTGTATGTTTTATGTTAAAGGGGCAATATCACTTAAAATCAACTTTTTTGGACTTTATATCATGTTATCACATTATCCCTTCATCAAAAACATGCACAGAGTATTGCTTTGACTCATTCATGTATGTTTGAGAAATCCCGTGCTGTCCTGAGGCATCGCTAGAACCACCTTTTAGGTGCAGCTCCTCCTCTGGGCTGTGTCTCCACACCGAGCTTCCTCATCACAGAGCACACCTCCCCCTGCAACTCCTACAGGCTATTGGTAACAACAACAAGCAAACAACTGATAAAACCGAGTGTCTGCTGAGCTCCTAAAACTACTGCTCAGTCCAGTTCTTTTCAGATTAAAAAATGCCTTTAAGGAAAATAATTCTCTGATGCCAAGAGAGCTTCCCATGTATGACACGGTTCTTAAAAAATGGTTGGACTTCAATTTTGGAAGTAACCCTTTGATGAAAAAACTATTATTTATATATTTGTGCAAGTCACTTTATGGATGATAGTTTTCTGAACAAAAGGGAATTTAACAGTGGACTAATAAGATTATCACTAAAAGATGATGDAATTCCAACACTCAGAAGGAAACAAACACTATTGTCATCTGCTCAGGTAAGCTGAAAAACAACTCATGTTGTTTTGTTCAGTTGTTCGGTCAATCTGTGATCTACGGTTATCATTCATAACTRAAATGTGTTCTTTAACTGGCTTTCACCACAATTTATTGATAAAAAAAAAAATTTGCTTAACATTGATGTGTGTGAGGATGACTGGGATTTTACCAAGCTGAAACGTTGTCTCTCTACTCACTCCGGTTCTTCAGAAAACATACTTTCTGGTCCGACGGTAAGGTTCAGTTTTTTCCTAAGTTGCAATTTTCCAAAACTGATATTGTATAATGTTGCTCCTATTTTATTATTATTTTTCTTTATTATTATTATTATTATTATTATTATTATTATTATTATTATTATTATTATTATTACAAATTAGGCTACGATGCTCCAAGTTGTAAATGGCATGAAGCTGTTGTGAGTGCCTTAAAGAGACAGAGACCAATTTTAAGAAGTTTAGAAATTGCTGTGATGTGAAGTCAAGTTTATTTTTGATTTATAAATATAAACACCATTTTCATAACAACTGAAGGTGACAAAGAGGTTATGGTATAGAACTGAACTACATGCCTGAGAAACATAATATTGGCCCTTTAAGAGTGTTCAAATTTAAGCTCTAATCAACTCTTTTTTTTCTAATTTTGTACTCAATTACATATTTTTAACCTTCATTTCATTACTTGCAAAGTTAAAGTTAGGGAAGCTTATTTCTCAAACTCTGATGCAAACAATGAGAGTTTAAACATCCAAGCATCTTGCAGACAGAAACCAAATGGGTCAATGGTGAGACAGAGCTGTGAGAATTTGTTCACATCACTTCCTGGTGAGGAACGTGCAGCAAAAGTCACAACAGAAATACATTAATATTTTGTAAGAYCTAAAACACATATTTGTTTAGCACATCTGCAAGAACCCAATGCATGGATTTTGACTGTTTAGGGGAATGCAGCCAATATGTGCTTCATGCCACACAACAAGCTAATGTTAGACTTATATTGGGGGTGGGGACTATTAGTTTGGTAAATGTAATGTATTCATCACCCACATTTCTCCACTTAACTTCCTCAAACGCCACCTCTCTTCAGTTCAGCTCTCTCACAATCTCAGCATTCATCTCCATCTCTGTTTTCTCTCCCAGTGCACTTGTCATTCAGAATATTAGGCACAACAGAGCCCTTTTCCCCCCTCCCGAGTGGCACCAAGGTCTTCGTCAGGCAGCTGATTAGAATTGCAGATGGCTCGCCCCACGACTCAGAAGCTGTAATGTTCCACAAACACTCCTCTCAAACTGGCTGCTTTACTGTCTCTCCTCTGCATTCTATATATTTCCATCTCATTTTCTCTCATTTTGCCTCCCCCTTGCCCATTTCTTCTACAAAGTGACTTAATGAATGTCTAAAGATGCAACCTATTATGTAAAGTGGCCTTTTTTTATACCCAGATGGTTTAAAAAGGGGGAGGGACTTCATCAGCTCTACAATACTTCTAATAAGCTTGTAGAAGCTCAGTAATAAGGAAAATAAAGGTTCCTCTGTTGGTTTAGACATTTCTGTTTATCACTGTTCTTCATCTCRTTGTTTTTCCTCCTATCTTTGCTTGTGTCCTGTTATCTTGCTGTCTCCCCTGCTGCATCCTTTACAATTTCTCCTCTACAATAAGAGTTTATTGCTGCTGTGCCTCAGAAGGAGAGTTTCTGTAAATTCGTCTTGGACATGTTCCATCTTCTGTCRAGTCCTTCCTGTCTTTTTATTACCCACCTCCTCATCTTTCTCTGTGAGTGTCTCTCCTCCCGTTCACTTATCTTCCACCCATGGGATTCCCTTTGCCGCTCAGAGTGGTTTACTTCACTAATCAGTCCCCTTCTTGTCACTCTCACCCTCCATCTCTGCATCTGTCTCCTGCTGCTCGCCCGCTCTCTCTCTCTCTCTCTCTCGTGGTGTGCTAGTTTCTCTGGCTTTGAACCAGAGTATCTCGCTTTCTCTCTGAAGACTTGGGAGCATTTTCCTCTTCCAAACAGCCAGATCAGATCTGCTCCCAGGCAGCGGAGGCTGACTCGCCTCCAACGTCGCTCCCCCGTCGGTTGCCACACTGATGGCAGTGCTTTCCAAGAGCTAAGCGACAATGGCTGGCGGCGGGAATGTGCCTGTTATGTAAAAAGCAATGCCATCACCGCACACTTATTCAAAATAGCTGAAAGATGTAGTCCCTCTCAATTAATGAGGAATTGTGAGTCAGAATTAAAAAGCAGTGGCACTTTCTGCCAGCCATTAAACTGGAGATATTCAAAATCCTCCTGCTACAAGCATTATTATAGTCCTAAAATTCCTAATGTGAACTTGATTGCTCGCCACTGAGGATAAAATGGTCTTCATCTGGCTGTGCGTGCCTGCGTGTATGCGTGCGTGCGTTTGTGTGTAGGCATGTGTGACTAATGAAACTCTCAAAGTGATCATTAGATGTACTTCTGCAACTGATAAACTTTTACAGTCAGCCTAATTCAAGCTGGCCACCACAGCTTGTTGACATWAGCCAGCACAGCAATGGCTACATCTGTCAGTTTTGCAATGATTGAATTGTAAATTGGTGTGGTAGTATCTGAGAGGTATGCTCAACACTTACTCTGAAAGCTACACGTTGAGTGACATTTTTCCTTAAACGTTACCATTAATTTTAGAGTCAATATTTTGTCTGTCAGAAAAATATCTCGTGAAACAATGGAAAAATTTTATTATATGTTTAGAAATAATGATTGGATATACATCTACAGCTAATTACCTTTGCTGTCAACTACATTTACGAAGACTGCCACTTTAGTTAACCTGAGCAAACATAAAAGTCTAAATGGTAAATATCAAGCAAAATCTACGTTTTAGCTGTTAAATGCATTTTGTTGTGTACTTAAAGTCTCTAGGCATGTGTTATATAGATCTAAGCTGAATGATTTAAATATAAAAAAGAAGGATTTAAAAGCATGTTATGTCTCATTTAATACATTTGTCTAAATTGAGCTAAAATTTGTGGTAGCAGCTGAGAGTCATCCTCAACAGCTAACTCCTCCTGTTATACTGTATATCTCATAAAATCATGCATAATGTCATTTATAAGGTGTGACCAAAACAACTGACATCTTTTTTCATCATGRAGGGATTTTGATCTAGAATCCCAATGAGAGGTGGTGGACTAGCAGAGGTGTCAAACGTATCCACATTCATTACTTAAGTAGAAGTATAGATACTAGGGTTTAATAATACTCTTTTGGTTGTAGTAGTATAAACTCAAGCTTTTTACTCAAGTAAAAGTATAAAAGTACTGGTTTTAAAACTACTTAAAGTATAAAAGTAGAAGTAACGAACACTTGAAAAAGCCATTAAGGATAAAAGCTTAGACTGTGCCACAGGGTTCTATTGCATATAACCCACCACCACCATTTTTCTTATAAAATCTATAATGAGGATAATGTTAAATTAAAATGTTAATGTTGAAATTTTTGGAATTAATTGACTAGACCACTTGTTTCAGCCGTGATCATCTTCATTCTAGTCTACACCTGCTACAGTGTGTCCTGCTGGAATGTGATCTGATCTGTGTCATACAGGTGTGATGGAGTGCATTCAATCCAACAGAGTGTCAGAATAGTACAGTGGTTTGCAAAAGTATTCATACCCCTTGAACTTTTCCATATTTTGTCACATTACAACCACAAACATAAATATATTTC